TTAGTAGATCAAGTGGTTACATTATGATTGGATGTGCTTTTGTTTTATTATTATTTATTTTTTAAGAAAAATAGACAATACAATGTAACAAATACAAATTTCATTATTTATTAAACCTTTATTTGGCAAACCATATTAATTCAATCTGTTAGTCGACCCAACTAAAACAATTCGATGAAAGCGCTGATACAATCAATTATCAATTATCTGCTATCAAATAATCGTCACACAAAGGTCGCAGTTTGAAATCGATATTTATATTAAAAAAAAATAATTTTAGAAAAGCTCAATATTCTCAATATAGCTATTTTTAAATATCAAAATAAATAATTATTCACCAAAAAACTAATCAATTATAATCTATTATTATGTAAATTGAATCCGGTAACACTTGTGTGTATTTATGAATGACAAACAAACAGGACAAAAGACTAGAAATTGGTGAAAATTGTAATGTTCCAAAAATTATATTTTAAAAAAATCTTTGTGAGATTTGAAATTATAATTTGCTCAAGAGCTAAAATTGGAGCGAATAAATTTTATTTTTTATTTTTATTTTTTTATTTTTTATTTTTTTATTTTTTTTTTTTAAAAAAAAAAGAAAAAATGTGGGATGGGCTGCAGCGGCGCACATGGAATTGGGTTTGACTCAAAACGGCCAACAGATTCACATGCCCACTTTTACGTGGGCCCCACACTGTGAATCTTAGCACATGACTTAGGCCTATTGGGCCCCACATCCGCACCCCATTAAAAAAAAATTCAAACCTTTCATTGAGTAATATATAAATAATAATCAAATTTTGTTATATATTTATTTATTTATTTATTTTTTGTTCTTCCTCTTATTCTCACTTTGTTCTGTAATATATGACCTAAGGCAAAATTGCATTTTATGCCCCGTAACTAGGAGTGTGTGGTAAATGTGGACAACTTCTTTTTGGTTTGAAAAAAGTGCTATGAAATTTGTTAAAACCCGAAATTCGTGCTTAATTTGGGCACAAATTTCGAATTTTAACAAGTTACTTTCCTTTTTTGTCACACGAAAAACCGGTCAAATCTGGTAACTTGTAGGTAAATGGGCACGAATTCCGAGTTTTAACAAGTTTTAGGGCACTTTTGCCAAACTAAAAAGAAGCTGTCCAGTGTCCACATTTGCCACACACGTATAGTTACAGGGCACAAAATGCAATTTATGGCCTAATCACGAGGGTTAGCCAAACGGTTGATTATTATGGAACCTAATATTCCGTATAAATTCACAATTAGTGGTCTTATTGAAAAAAACAAGTAGTCATGACTGCACAACATTGACCATTGCCATTGGGGTAAACGTGAAAGTTCACGAACACTTAATGTTGAAGAATTTTGATTCAAAATAATTGACTTAATTAGTGTTAAATATGGATTGGAACTGTTAAACGAAACGAGGCATTCGTGAATTTGGTTTACACGAATTTGTAGGATAAACGAGCCTTTGTCGAACTCATGAGGTTCAGTTAATTAAAGAGTCGAGTCTGAATGAAACGAGCCCAACTCGTTAAGATTGTTTGGACTTGATAAATAGAAATTTTTAAACAAATTTTTAAGCTTTTTAACACAATTCAATTCATTAATGCCCGATCATGACTCCTGAAGACTTTTACCAGCCAAACTCGAGACTCGATAAGAGCTCGAGTCCGAGCTCGTGTATCATGAGTTCGAGTTTGACAAGACTTGTTGACAGTTTTAGGACTATTTTGGATATTTACGGATCGATATAAAATTAGAGTATCGAAAACTAACTTGTTTGACAAATAGTTTACTTGATTGACCGGGTTGTATGAACGCTTTAAGAAAAAGATAATTTGTAGATTTTAATAATCAACTTAGTTATTACAATCTGCTAATACAATCAGTTATTTGTCAACAACAGATAAAAACGAGTTCTTACTATCAAACTTTGTCCATAAAAAATACTTTTTGTTACCTTCTTTACTATACTATTAATCAAATGATCAAATTATTATTAACTCTATTTGGTGCATGATTTGAGCTTATAAACATTGAGAGCCACCACCAATATGGGTTGTGAATTTGAAAAGAATTTGAATTCACAATTTAATTAATTTTAAGTTGTCAATCTTTGTTTTACAACACAACTAATTAAGTGCTTTGTGGTTATAGTTTGAAAATTTTAAAAGATGGTGGATCAAAATGAAAATATTGATAGATGTTGTGAAAGAGACAATAGTGTCTTTTAAGAAAAAGGAAAGGGCACTTTTGATTGATCCCAAAACATAAAAGCGGTCCAAATATCAGAGCTCAAATTATTACATAAAAAAAATTAAAAAAAAAAAGGTGAAGCTTTGGAGGCATAATTGTAATAATAAAACAATAATCCATCACTGGTTAATAAATAAATAAATTGGTAACATTATTGAGATTCTTATAAATTGAGAGCTCTTTATTCATTGAATTTCTTGTTGGCAAATGTATTATAATGGATGCTTGATTTTTACTCCAACTTTTTATTTAGATAACTAACTTATTATCATTATCACAATTATTGTTATTTATTATTAAATATATAAAAACATTTAATATTTTGATTGTATTTCTTGTAGTCCCACACTGGTGAAGCGTATTTAATCAAATAGTCATCCTAAGTGCCTAACTGTCACCTAAATGAATTTACATTTCAAAACTAATTGATCATATATATGATGAGTAGTTCCTTAAATTTATAAATTAAATTTGTTTGTTCTAAGTAATTAATATGGAGCAAATTACAAGTAAATATTCCAATACATTTGCTAGTAAAAAAAAAATATATTTTATAACATGATTTTTATAACGGGTTTGTTAAATCCATTATAAAAATAAAGACGGTGACATTTTTGTATCAATCATGTTTTATTTATATCGGGTGTCTATGAAACCCGTTGTAAAGTTTTCAGATTCTCAATTATCTATAATTGAGTATTTAAACAACTATTATAACTACTAACTAGCCTTGGTAATTATGTATCATATATATTCCAATACATGTCCTTACAAAAATAATTTGATAAAAATCAACTAGAATGTTTGACATTGTAAAAATTAAAAAAAAAAATGAAAAAAGAAAAAAAAAAGTGTAGAAAGATAGTAACTTTATTTGAGTACATGAGCAAAAAATAGTGAACATTTATTTTAATTTATATATATTTTAGTGCATGAACAAAAATAGTGAACTTTTAGCATAGAGAATATTTTTAGGGCAATAAAAAGTCAAGGAATCTCTTTCACTCACACTACACCGACAAAAATAGAATAAAAAAATAATAATTATTCACAGTCTTTTTATTATTATAATTATAATCATATGTACAAAATTGACGGTCCAAAATTCTACCGGAACACATGCAGTTTGTTGCATCAAAAATTCTCATGTCTCCTGCTAACGACTACTTAACGTGCTACGAAATTTGCGAAAAATATTGAATATTTTAATTTTCATTAAATAAAAATTTAATTTAGATCAAATTATGCAATTTTTTATTTTATTTTATTTTTTAAATAACATACTATGATCGGTGATGTGGATATATGACGAACGCACCTTGCTGTTGATATTGTCACATAAAATTTATCTGAAAAAAAATAGTTTGAACAAAAAATATATATTAGAATAAAAATGAGTTAAATTCATTATATAATTAATCATTATAAGTAAATTGATAAATCATTTCAGATGACTAAAAAAATAGTGTTTTTTTAAATAATACTTTTGTTACAGCTTATAACCATACAAATATATTTTAGATAGTTCAAAGTTAATTTCAAATTTTCAAGCTATGTACTCAGCATTTAAATGAGAAAAACTGTTCATTTAGCTAATCAAACTTGAGTTAATTATTACTTAAATTGAGATTTATCAATTCAAATGAGACCAATTCCGCAAAGAAAAAAAAATATTAATATAGGAGAGAAGTACTTTGGCAAACAAATCAAATTTAAAGTGTGGTTTTAATATTTTTTCAAAAAAAAAAAGACATTATTTCAAATCTTTCTTGTATAATTGACATTTTAATTAATAATAATAACAACAACAACAACGAGCATAGACGTGGCCTCCTGGAGGGTTGGCCCGCCGACCTACCATAGAACCCATGTTTTGAGCCCATATAATAGGTAGGTCGATTTTCGGGGCCTTACTAAAAAAATCACAGTCTCGGCTAGTCTCGACTCTCGACCCGACTAGTGATTGAGAGCCCGTGCGGACTCCCATTCGAACTAGTTGATTTAAATTTTGTATGTCAACATTCAAAATTTTAGATTTCGCTGTTGTATCTTCTATCCCTTGAAAGATCTACGGCTTGGATTTAACGAACTAGATGCTTTGGATAGACCAACCAACAAATTTTTTATTTTATATAAATATTTGTTTGACCCCATCGGCCCTATCTAGAACAAAATGGAGACTCGCCACATTTACAACCAGTTTCGATTCAAGAATTTACGAATCTTCAACCGTCCGGGTCGGGCTCACAACCGACGGGTTGGCCTGTTGGGCATATCTTATAATCTAAGTGTGTAATCTACTTGGTTAACATAATTAAACCAACATTATAATTAAGTTGTGTAAATTAACACAACAATTAGAAGAGTAATAATTGCGGTTACCAAATTAATACTATTAAGCAAGCAATAATGGCGTGGATGGGAGAGTAAGCGTAAAGCCCACCACTGTCAATCCCAAGGCCGGCAGGATTGGATATTCCAGCTCACTGATTGATCCACGTGTCAGA